CCCAGGCAGGTCTCGAACCCGCGGGATCAGGCAATCCACTCACCTCAGCCTCCCAAGGTGTGGGATTACAGACTGAGCCACCGAGTCCGGCTCTTTTTCTTTTTCTTTTTTTGAGTTAGAGTCTCACACTCTGTCACCCAGTTTGGGGTGCAGTGGCACGTGCTGCAGCCTCGACCTCCTGGGCTCAGGTGATCCTTCCACCTCAGCCTCCCGAGAGCTGGGACTACAGGTGCATGCCACCACGCCTGGCTAATTTATTTTTATTTTTTTGTTGAGATGAGGTCTTGCTATGTTGCCTAGACTAGTCTTTTTTTTTTTTTTTTTTTTGAGTTGAGAATCTCACTCTGTCGCCCAGGGAATGCAGTGGCACGATCACAGCTTACCACAGACTTAAACTCCTGGCAAGCCATCCTCTCACCTTAGCCTCCCAAGTAGCTGGGACTACAGGCATGCCCCACCATGCCTGGCTAATTTATTATTATTATTGTTATTATTATTATTATTATTATAGAGTTAAGGTCTCACTATGTTGCCTAGGCTGGTTTTGAATTCTTGGACTCAAGCAATCCTCCTGGCTTGGCCTCCCAAAGTGCTGGGATTACAGGCGTGAGCCACCACACCCTGCCAAATCCTGCATTTCCATAACTTCAAAAAATATTGTTCAGGCTGTTACTTCTGCTTGGAATGGAACTCTCATCCTGATCTTCTGGGTTCCTTTTCAACCTCCAAGGTCCAGCCAGCTTAAGGCTTATCCTCCCCAACCTCCTCCTTCCTGTCTGAGTGGCCTCTGAACTGGAACTGGCATTGGCATTTATCATACTGTCAAAGTGTCTGCTCCTTGACTAGGCAGTGAGTGCCTTAAGGACAAAGAGACTATGCTAGTCAGCTCTGATCCCAGTGCTCAGTGCTATGTCTGATAGGCAGTATGTTCTCCAGAGCTTGCAGGATTGATTTCCTCTTAATACAAAAGAGAGAACGCAAATTGCATTCTGGTGAGACTCAGCTCTGGCATCTTCCCATGGTGGATTGGCTTGGGAGAAATACCTTTTATTTCAGGGAAGGAGAGTCATGAATAAAAAGAACATCTCTGCCTCTGCATGACTGTAGATAAAAGGTCTGAGTCTCATTTTTTTTTTTTTTGAGTTGGAGTCTCACTCTGTCGCCCAGGCTAGAGTGCAGTGGCATGCTCACGGCCACCCCAGCGTCGACCTACTGGGCTCCGGCGATCCTTCCGCCTCAGCCTTCCAAGTAGCTGGAACTACAGGCGCACGCTGCCACGCCTGGCTAATTTTTGATTTATTGTAGAGATGAGGTCTCGCCAAGTTGCCCAGGCGGGTCTCAAACTCGCGGGCTCAGGCAATTCACTTGTCTCGGTCTTCCAAAGTGCTGGGATTACAGGCTGAGCCACTGAGCCCAGCGAGTCTCATTTCTTCATCTGTATATTGTGATTAATAATATCAATTATTGGGATTAAATGATACACAATCAGGAAATAACCTGGCACAGACCCAGAAACATAGAAAATGCCCAATAAATGTAAGCTTGTCTTGATTATTGTTATAGTATTATTGTTATAGTAGGTGCTGAAAAATGACAGCCATTATCGTTATTATATCAAATTGTTATTTATCTTCTGAGTTGAGTGCATTTTTCACTGTCTTTTCTACTAGACTCGCCTATCTAGCAAAACAATGCATTTTCCAAGTATATCACTAATGCTTAGCACCATTTCTTCCACATGGTAAAAGTATTGAATGAATATTTGCAGATTGATCAATACATTATTAGTAACGAGGATACATAATTTTACAGATTTTTTTCCACATTTGCTCAGTTGCATTTAAAAGGTGAATCTATGTGGCGTCAAGGTTAATAATTTTTCATGAAAATAAGCACATTAATATGTGAAAAAGGTATAAATATCGTAAGCTTTCATACAGCCAACTCGTACAATGGGTGTTGTACTAATTTAGTTCCAAGCAGTGGGTATTCATTTTAAAAGCAGATCACTCCCATTTACCTCTGTTCCCATAAAGAACTTGGTGCAGAAGTCGTCTATTGGCCGGAGATGATCAATCATCCCACCTTCCAGATTATGGTATGGGCTCGTTTCTCCTGCCTTCGCTGCTTTGTTCTGTGCTAACATTTTGTCTTTTGGAAGCGTGTGGATAGAAGAACACATATCCCAGTGAAAGATCTTTTAAAATATAGAGAGTTTGCATTTTCTGTCTCTTGCCACAAACATCTGCCCCATTCCCTTCCCAACGCAGTGGGCATAAGAGAAGCATTTCTAGACCTCTAATTTAGTAGTAGAATCCTTTTTTCAAATCAAAACATCACTGACTGTCCTGTGGGATCACTCTAGCTGCACACGTACAGCGCAAGGGCACATCTGACCCGGGGCTGAAATGCAAACATCATCAGGAACCTGTTTCTTTTAAAATGTCTTTGATGTCACTTTGAAAGCAAAAGCTTCTTTATGATAAAAAATTTACAAGTGCTATTATCCATTATTACGTCTCCTGGAGACAACTGCTATTAAAATATTGGTATATTTCCCTCTAGTGACTTTTCTGTGAGTATACAAACATATATATATATATATATTTTTTTGTTTTTAGAAAGAGGACAGAAACAAACATTTTTAATGGGGTCATAATCTATTTTAGTCTTGTACACTGTTTTTCTGTTCACTTAAAGTTGTGTCTTGAGTGTTTTCCCATTTCCAAAAATGTGATATTACATTTCTGGGAAAGTTGATAGAGACATATATGCTCATAAAACACACCTCTAATCACACTTCCACGATGTGTCCTCTGGATAATACCACCTGAGGGGAAAACAAGCAACATAAAACCAACCAACAAATAGACAAATGAAAACTCGAATAGGAGAGGAACACTTTAGCTTGACTAAAAATATATATTGCATTTCAAAAAAACTTTAGCATAATTCTGGACAAAGTTAAAAAATAATTATCATAATTTAGTCGATGCAGTCAAGCAACACTTCCTTTGTCTGAGATTTACATGTCTTGAGAGGTCTCTTTTCCCATTAAGTAACACATTAAAAACAAGTTTTGAAATAAGCCAAACATGGAAATAGATCATTAAACACCTGCATTCCAAAGTGTAAATCAACATTTCAAAATTGACTAGGCACATCAATCACATTGTTCTGATTAAATGATATTATTTATAATACATGTAGAAAGAGCAAAAAGACACTTTGTGTCTATTTAATATATAAAATTAAAATCATTAAATATTTCACATTCTTCACTCTCATTTTAATGTCAGGTTTATTCTTTGTAAAAATGTACACAGATATATTAGGGAGTATAACATGCATATAATTTATAAATAAATATACATACATTGGGAATTTTTACTAAAAAATGTTTACTGAGGATGTGCAAAATTCAAGTGTGGAGGCCTCTGGTCTAACAAAGGGAGACAAGACCTTGATCTACGAGAACCCAACTAGTAATGTAAAAGAATAGACAAAGATGAGATACATTGTTTTTTTTTTAAAAGACATAGTTTCCCTGAGAAACTGGAAGTGGGAACCTGAGGAGAGAGGCAGGGGTGATTAAGTTATCAATTCTGATGTGGACACATTGACCTAGAGGGAGTGGATTGGGTTCAAATCCAGAAGACAGCAAGAGTCAGGTGGAGAATTCTCAGCAGAGGTAAAAGCTGGAGCCCAGCAGGTAGACTCTGTTAGCAAAGGGAAAGCATGGCAATGAGAAAGCATATAGCTGAAGATAAAGTTCATGACGGGGGTAGGGGGAGGTGAAATGGAGCCAGGCAAGGAGATAGAGAAAGAAAAATGGAAGAAGCAGCAGGATAGAAAAATCGCAAATGCTAAAGAAAGTGTGAACGCCAAGGGCTGAGTTAATAGCATTTGACGGGGCAGAGCCAAAGAGGGTGAGGCGAGAAAAAATGTTTTCATCAACTGTATTTATTGAGTCTTGACTGGAATAACTTTGGAATTTAGTAAATTCAAAGTCTTCCTCATACATCATGGATTTCCCATCACTTAAGATAGTAATAGTAACAGCAACTAAAATTTACTGAATGCTTACTACATGCCAGGCAGTAAACTGTGTGCTTCATATGAACCATTTCATTCAACTCTCACAGTAACTTCTAAGGTGGTTACACAATGATCTTCCTTCAAGGATGAGCAAACTGAGGTTCAGAGAGATTTGAGTAACGTGTGCAAAGTCTTACATGTGGTAGTCCACATTTACTATGAGTTTACTATGTGCTTTTCTGAAAGCTTCACGTGTATTAATTAACTCCCTCGCTCTATATTCAAACAGATTGAAAGGCAACAACAACAACATAACTAAGGTACAGAGAGAGGTAATTTGACCTGTTTAAATTATAAATTGTGGCTTTGGGAGTAAGCCCAGACAATCAACTCCAGAATCCATATTCTACTTTTTTTTTTTTTTTTTTTGAGTCAGACTCTTATTCTGTTGCCCAGGCTGGAGTGCAGTGGCACACTCATGGCCACCGCAGCCTCGACCTGCTGGGCTCATGCGATCCTTCTGCCTCAGCCTTCCAAGTAGCTGGAACTACAGGCGTGTGTCACCACTCCTGGCTAATTTTTTGATTTATTGTGGGGACAAGGTCTCACCATGTTGCCCAGGCTGGTCTCGAACCTGTGGGTTCAAGTAATCCTCTTGCCTCCACCTCCCAAAGTGCTGGGATTACAGATATGAGCCATCATGCCCGGCTCAGAATCCATATTCTTTTTTTCTTTTTTTTGTGAGAATGCAGAATTTATTGAGAAAGCAGAACAGCTCCTACAGTGGGAGGGGATCTGAAGGGGTTGCCCAGAATCCATATTCTTAACCTCTATGCTGTATTACTTAGAAGAGTATAGGCCATGCACTAAAGGCTATTCCAGAAGAGGGTTTCCAAAACCGTTTAGAGCAAAGGCTTCCAGATCGGAATAAATATGGAATTTCTTGAAGTGACTGCTTAGAAGGGCACTGATTGCCAGGGACCTAAAATGGCAGGCAAAAGTGAATAGTCCTTGGTTACGAGATGTCAACAGAGTGCCAGATGGTGACACTGAGACTGAGCAAGCCTCAAGAGAAAATGGTGGGATAGCGAGGACTTATGATTAATAGTCCAAGTAGAACAGGTATAGGACCAATAAACAAAATCTGATCAAGAACCTTATGAGTGCATTCTAGTGTACAGGGCCAAATCTGGCCAGAATAGGTGGCTAGCTGGCAGTGTATCTGAAGGAGACCCAAAACACCATAGCTGATTTCAAATAAAGTTCTAAAGGCTGACCGTTCACACAGAGACAGATTATGGCTATACTGTGACTGCCATTAGAGATAAGAGGTATGTGTTAGCAAGATCCCTAGGATTACCAAGTGAAATCAAATTCTCTCCAGAACCTGTAAAATTGCAACATGGATTTCTGGACACATAAGGGGCATGGCTAACTAGAATTTCAACTGAGCATCTAAACACATGTGTCTATTCTTTTTATGAACTGACTTGGCCAAATATGTCTTTTCAGAAAACAATATTTATGAAATGACCTTGTCTGGAAAGAGAACATTCATTTGATGGGCATATTCCTGTTTAATGACATTTGGGACATGCTACAAGGTCCTTCATTTTAAATAGCCTTTCCTTAAGTGGTTGAAAATATGTATTTTTTCTTACTTATTTTAGTGTCTATCCAACCAGAATATAAACTTCATGAAAGCAGGAACCTGTTTTTTTCACAGCTATATCTTCAGAGTCTAACACTTTGCAGGAGTTTAATAAATATTTGTTGGGAAAAAAATGGTTGAGTAAACTCAGGCATAAATATGGAGATAACAGTATGAAAATTCTTCTTTATAAAAGTAAAAGGTCACAATATTTTTAGATATTACTTCTAACCGCATTTAGTTTTATATACCTATTCCCAAATATTAACTGTGCCAATAGTACGTTTCTTTAAGAAAAAAAGAAGGGCTCTATATCCTGACATGGTGCCAGTAGGCAGCCTTCAGAAAGAGGTGGCCTAAGAGTCTAATATTTGTAAAGACAGAAGATCAATAGAAATTACACTCACTTGAAGGAGGTCAAAGTTTAGATTTATTTGTTTAAAAAGATATGTAGGCCAGGCTCAGTGGCTCATATTTGTAATCCCAGCACTTTGAGAAGCCTAGGTGGGTGAATCGTTTAAGGCCAGGAGTTCAAGACCAGCCTGGGTAACATAGTGAGACCATGTCTCTACAGGAAAAGAAAAATAGCTGCATATGGTGGCATGCATGTAGCCCAGCTACTTCGAAAGCTGAGGCAGAAAAATTGTCTGAGTCCAAGAGGTTGAGGCTGTGATAAACTGTGATCATCCCACTGTACTCCAGCCTGCATGATAGAGTGAGATTCCAACTCAAAAATAGAAATAAAATAAAGAAAAAAATATGTAATTATATCTCAATGCACTTACAAAAATACATTTTAGAGAAATTTCTGCTTTTGGTCAAAAAAGAGCAATTAGGGTTATACTTAAGCTCTCTCACCTAAAACAAAAAAAAAAACCAGATAAAATATATGAAATAATTTTCAGACTACAAAGGACATTGATCCCTGAGAGACAGGAGAAATAAAAAGATGATTATTTTAAATCTAACCATATCAATAATTATATTAAACATGAATGCTCTAAATATCTCAATTAAAAGACAGAGATGATCAGATTGAACTTGAAAAGCAAGGCCTAAAGAAAGTTATGTCAAAAAGGTTAGATGTAAAAGGATTTAAGAAAGGTATACCATGTTAACGCTTACCAAAAGAAAACTGGAATGGCTATAGTAATATTAGACAAAGTAGATTTCAAAGTAAAGAGTATTATCAATTCATTAAGAGGATGCAACAATCTTAGAATTTATGTATCTAATAATAGAGCTTCAAAATACATAAACAAAAACTGACAGACCTGGAGCAGAAACAGACAAATTTGTAGACATTTATAGTCAGAGGTTTCAGTGTCACTGCCTCAACAACTGATAGAACAAGGAGACTGAAGATCAGGAAGGACATAAGAGATTTAAAATAATACTATCAGCCAACTTGACCTAATGAACATTTATAGAACATTTCACCCAGTAACATGAGATTCACATT